TACACTTGTACTCGTAAATGACGTTCACTTGCTGTAGATCTGTTGTCTTTTTAGCAGGGCTGTTTTTCACGATAAGGTTAGTTTCATGTGATAACTTAAACGTATCTGTTCATCGCATGAACACCCAAGAAGAAACAGCAAATACAAGAATTATGATTACACTAAATGGGGGCGGCATGTCCACCTGTCATAGTGGCCTAGTAACATGTCCCTAATAACGTTATCGTCTCTGGTGACATCAGCACATTTTGCGCCAGTGCCCTCTGGTAACACTTTGAGTAACTATGACATCATCACCTCTAGTGATATAACCATCTCGGGTGGTGTCATCATCTCTGGTGACATTATCGTCTTCCCCATTGCCTGAGGCCGACACACTTGCCCCGATAACTAATCATCTTGCTTACCACGGTAAGGATAAGACTTATTGCAGTTCTCTATCTGGATGGTTCTGGTCCCATATTGGTCCATATTCCTTTGTTTTCTAATACCAATAGTTGGTAAAAGAGTAGCCCAAGAGTTGGCGGTGGGTGGTGATGACTAGCTGCCTTCCCTCTAGACTTACACTGCTAAATTAGGGACGGCTAGCGCAGATAGCCCTCGTGTAGCTTTGCGCGAAATTCCAAAACAAACAAACAAACTAATACCAATAAGTACAAAGTATATGTAAGTTTTGGAAATTCTAAATTTCGAAGTGAACACGTCTTTATGATCTAAATGTACTAACATTTCGAGTTTGAGCAGGCTATTACATACCTCTCAAAGCGATCAATTTTAGGTGACATCAAACTACATACAAAATGTCTAAAATGTCAACATATAGTGGTGATACATATTTATATTTGAGTTATTTATTACATTACTATTCTAATTATTTTAACCGAACTGTTATGATTACAAGTTATATATTAATTTGTATATTTCCATTGATCATCAGAATACATTTCTTCTAATTTTGTATGATTGATCATCATCAGTGTAAATATTATTGCGCATATGATTACAGTCATTGCGAGCCAGCTAGCTTAAGTAGAAAGTCACACATGGAGAAGCTGTATGAAGGAACCATTGAGCTAAATATTAAAAAAAAAACACTTTGTTCCGGAGTTTTTAGTCGTTTTTATTCATAGTATAACATGTTTTAGATACTCCAGCCAGCGCTGTTTATTTTTTCTTCTGATGGACATTAGAATGGATAATCACCAGTGTTGAACCAAATGATGATGTATTCGAAAGAAAATCTAAAATCTAGAAAAAAAATTTAAAGCTATTAATAAGATAATGAATTGTAACACATGAGTCTACAGCAGTGGTTTCCAACCTTTTATTATTATTTTTCATTATTTACTATTTATGTTTTAATAATAGTTGAACAGAACTTTTCGACAGAAGGTTTTGAACCTAGACACCCTCTCAGAAGAAGTCGATTTGGGGTGTAATGCTGCAATTACAAATCGTCAAACTTCAACTGAAATGGAATATTTTCTTTTTCCATGGCAGGTTTTTCGATTTAAATTCTCCCAAGGGAAACTTCAGGAGACAAACAATTGCTTCTCTTTGCTACACGAGGGCTATCTGCACTAGCCATCCCTAATTTAGTAGTGGAAGACTAGAGGGAAGGCAACCAGTCATCACCACCCACCGCCAACTTTTGGGCTACTCTTTTACCAACGAATAGTGGGATTGACCGTCACATTATGACGCCCCACGACTAAAAGGACGAGCATGTTTGGTGGGATGGGGATTCGAACCCGCGACCCTCAGATTGCGAGTCGAGCACTTTAACCACCTCGCCATGCCGGGCTCCAATGCCTAGAGACTTAAATACTTAGCTGTGGGGGAGGGGGACGGGAGTTCTCCTAGAAATCCTACTTTCACTGATCATGCGCCGAATAATCAACCTGGCTAGTGCTCTATTAAACTCAAGTGATATCTGAGCTCGAAAAAAAGGCCAAGGTTTTTAAACTGTGTAGTAACTGGGCAGGGCGATGGCCAAGGGCAAGTTGATTGAGTAAAAAAATTGTTACCACAGCTAGTTAACAAACATATATATATCGTTATATTACATGAGTGAGACATTGAACATCAGATTTTAGAATTGTGTGCTAAAATGTCAACATTAATCAGATTTTAAAAAATAATCATCCGTAATTCTGAATTAGTAAAAATTCAAAATAATCAGTGGTTATTAGGCAGTGAGCTGCTGTTGTATCACTTGAAAAGTGTCAGATTTTAAACTCCTTTATTCATTACATTTAAAATACATATGAGTAAGTGATCAGCGTTTAGTCAACTTCCATGTGAGCAAAATGTAAGCAGTCATAAACTTCCTTCACTTCTCCCCTCCTGTATACAGTATACATTCCAGTCATGATACTAAAAGGATTTTACAAGTTACTATGAGAGGAAAGTTAATTTTCCCTTGAGTATTTATGATGAAAATGGGCACGAAGGAAACCTAGAATTGTGGGATACTACACTAGGACCTTAGCTTGACTTTAAAATATGTTGTAATATATTATTTCTTATTTCCACGAGTGTATGAGTGTGTTTTTTTTTGTTTTTTTTGCTGCCGTATTTCATCTTATTCTTAACAAAATAAGTATTATAAAACATACCATTTAGAATAACTCATGATGATTAAATCATACTTCACACAGTTTGAAAGTGATTTAAATATAAGAGAATGATTGTGTAAGCTCTTGATATGCATATTAGAAAGGTTCACTGGTACCCAAGTATAGAACACTGAGAATACATCCAATATTTCTGCTACTGGATTACCAAACTTTACGCATAAACTCAAAGAGTTAGTTGCTTATAAGTTTCTATTTCTTTCACTTTTTCTCGTTATTTCATAGATGTAAACTGTTATCTTTTATGAATTTCATTACTACTTTTCCTTATAAGGTTTTTTTTTGTTTGTAGTTAAGCACAAAGCTACACAATGTACTATCAGTGCTCTGCCCACCACAACTATCGAAACTCGG